CACAGGCAGGACCACCCTCCTTTCCTGATTTCACCAAGAGGAAAATAGTGGATGTGGGTGACCTGGCCCTCCAGGTGTCTGGTAGCTGCTGCCTGCATGCGAAAGGCAGGCAGGGTCGGTCCTGGAGCCACTTGACTGACCAAAAATAGGATGGACAGGTTTTCAGTCCTGAGTGGGCCGGGATGGATTCCCTTGTTTCCACATCTTCGTGAGCTAGCAGAATGTCAGCTAGGGAAGACAGAAAGGGGCTTTTTTACCGAGGTGCACTATGTTCTCTTTGGGCCTGAGTTAAGAGGTCAGTCCTCAGGGTCTTCCTGGAAAAGGGGAGAGATTTGCTTACAGACATTCAGCTGAGTTAACGGGCCTGCAGCCACCCCTATTTTTATCCCCTGGTTTGCTGCTTGGCAGGAAGTTGCGTGGAGACGGAGTTATCTTTCTCAGGGATGGAAATGCTGAATAGCACTCCCATGTGTGGCTCTGTGCAGGAGAGGCCAGTGTGGCCTGGAGCCTAGGTAGGGATTAAAGTCTTCAAGCAAAATGTCAGGTTTGGATGCCCCTTCTGGTGAAATTTAGGCAATCCAGTTCTCAAGGAATAAGTGCTTATCTGCCAGCTTCTGTGCCTATTAAACTCAGGTCTTAAGGTGAACTAAGCTTCTGCACACCCCTCCCAGCCAGCGTATTTGCCAACACCAGCTCCTCTCAGGGATGACCTTTGGCAGGTATGGTGTGCACAGGGCTCCGAGTTCTCCCCTGGCACATGAGACCTCTCCTGCCAAGCTAGTTTCTGCTGCCACTTGACAGGATAAGAGAGGCGCCTGACTCTTGGTACCTGAGCTGAGGGTTTTCAGTCTCAGGAACAACAGAGCAGTGGAAGTCTTTCCCGATTTCCTCGGGCAAAGGCTTTAGAGGCCGCTTTAGAGGCTAGGTAGTAACTCACTGTAGCTCCTGCCCAGAGCCTCAGGAGGGGTGTTCAGGCTGTAGTTGGGTCCTCTGCTTCCAGAGAGGTGTCCAGAAGCCATGGTGGCAAATTCACAGCATCACCCCTTCTACTCTGCAGCTTTGTGGCAAGGCCAGAAATGGGCAAAACCAACACTGTGGGGAGGGCATATGTCCTGGGACACAAACGCTGTTTCCACCTCTTCTAGAACCTGGCCTCCCTCCTGGAGTTTCCAAGGTCCCCTGCCCCTCTGGCTTTCCACGGAACCTCTTTTGTCACTCTGGTGACCTCGAGCATAAGGCCGCCGATGCTGTGCTCTTTGCAGGGCCAGTGGAGAGACTGGCTGGGAGGTGAACGGGCAGCTGGGCACAGCAGAAGGAAGCCTGACCCATCAGTCCATCCCACACCAAATAGGAAGGCTGGCCTCGTAAATAGTCCATAAGGGGCTGCCTGTGTCGTCTTCAGCTCTGTAACTTCTCCTCTGTTCAGAAGAGCCCACCAAGGCAGCCACCACCCAGTATCTCCCCACAAGGGTTCTCCCCTATCCTGGTGAGGAACCGGGGAAGGGTAGATCTTAAAACAAACAAATTGTCCGTAAAACTCCTTCCTGGGCTTAAAAAGAGCAGCTCTGCCTTTTTCTGTTCTGTGACCTCTCTTTAGCAGAGATGGGCCCCAGAAAGGGGGAGGGGGAGGCAAACAGCCACATCCAAGCTGAAAACCTGGTCGTGTTACTAAGGATGAGTAGAAGTCAGGACTCGCACCCCCCACTCGCGGCAGCAGAAACGGGCTGCATGGAATAGGATGGTTTCCTGGCTTGGTGCTCTCTGCTGGAATCGAACACTCAGGAGCTTTGCGTGGCGGGATGGGGCTGTGGGGGAAACACTACGGTTTCAGTCTGGGCTGGGTGAGACATTCAGGACAGGAATATTTAGCCCCCAATCTTTGCCCCAGTTTCCCGTGGTTCTCAGCCCTAGCTTCCAGGCTGCTTTACCAAACGACCTCTGTCTTCAGGAGCCAGCCTGTTCCCAAAGCTGGCCCTTCCAGAGAAATACTGGATGGGACAGAAGGCCGAGATTCAGGAGCCTAAAGTCGGGCGAGTGTTCTGTAACCGAGAGTGTGGTCACTGCAAGGCAGCACACAGTTCCTGTAACTTGGAAGTTTCCAGCATCCTGATCCCATGGGGACAGATTAAAGGAGCTGTCCTGAAGGGGTGTAAGCTGTGTAAGAGGGGCCCCGAGCTCTCGGCCTGGAAGAGGGTTGAGTCCTGACTGAAGTTCGAGTAGGTCTAGGCCATCCAGACACTGTGGGCCAGGGACTGTCCTGTCTAGCTTGGTACATTGAATGTCCTTGTGGCCTTGGTACAGGTGCTCCCCGGTGTCCCCAAAGTGTTCATCAGGAAGAAAGCTGATGAAGTCTCTCTGGGAGCTGGGGCTTATTCCAGGCCTAGAGTTCCCACAGCCTCTAAGGAACTTTCACCACTGTGTCTGGTGTCCCTGGGATCACATCCCCAGTCCAAGAGTGGGGGGCTGCAGGACAGGTGAGCCAGAAGCTGGCCTTCACACTTCTCTCTGCTTTTGAAGGGGGAAGACGTTTTCATCCCGCTAACTCTCGGGAACAGGAAGAGGAGGCGGCTGGCAGCTGAAGGCGGGAACACTTGCTGCTGGATAATCGTAGCTTCTCAACGTTGCCCCTCTTCAGGTTCTTAAGGGATTCTCTGTTTTGGTTCCATTTTGTACACGTTTGGAAAATAATCTGCAGAAACGAGCTGTGCTTGCAAGGACTTCATAGTTGTCAAGAATTAAAAAAAGAAAAAAAGGATTTCCACTTGATCAACTTAATTCCTTTTCTTTACCTTCCCTCCCTCACTCCCTTGCCTTCCTCCCCCTTTTCCAAGCTGTTGCGCTTTGCAATATGTTACTGGTAATGAGTTGCAGGATAATGCAATCTTAACTTGTTTTCTCCTAAGTATTTGAGTTCAAAACTCCTGTATCTAAAGAAATACGGTTGGGGTCATTAATAAAGAAAATCTTTCTATCTTACATGAGAATTTGCTGGGTTTCTAGACTGAATCCAAAAGAGAGAGGAGGGGGAAGAAGAGTACACATGGCGCTGCCCTTACACTACAGATCCAAATCTGGGAAACCTTAGACCAGGAGTCCCTCAACCACCCCTTAGAAGAGAGAGAGGATGGCTGGTTAGTGAGCTCTTGGTTGGCGGTTCTGAGTAAATGTGAACGTGCTTCCTGTAAAGCCTGCTTGTTACCAAGTCTGGCTGGCTGTGGCCGAGAAGCTTCCGGGACTGTGACAGTCACATAAGTGTTTTATGGCTTATTCTTTTTTTTTTCTTTTTTTTTTTTTTTAAGATTTTATTCGTTTATTTGACAGAGACAGCAAGAGAGAGTACAAGCAGAGGGATTGAGACGGGGAGAAGCAGGCTTCCCACTGAGCAGGGAGCCCAGCTTGGGGCTCGATCCCAGGATTTTGGGATCATGACCTGAGCTGAAGGCAGATACTTAAGGACTGAGCCACCCACGCTCCTCCTGGCTAGTTCTTTAATCATGGATAATACACAGCATTTCCCACAATGAGTTCTGTGGCATGTGTTGTTCTGCAGGACACTGTTGGGTGTTAGGGTGTGGGCCCAATGTAGACGAACTGGCCACCCTTTCTCTTCCCACACACGATCCCATAAGACTGGCATTCCGCAAAATTCCCTTTGGAGAGATGCTTGCCTGACAGTACTGAGCCTAGAAATGTATGCTGGCCCCTAGCTAGCAGGACACTGATCCCAAAAATAAAATCGTTGAGAATATTCAATAGAGAATGGTAGGAGCACTTGAAATGGTCTAAGGGCCATCCTGGCAGGTTTTAGCTTCTTGCTTTCCCTTTTAACTTGTCTCCATCTAGTGCAGTGTGTTTCAGGCTGGTTTTAAGACTCATTCGTGAACTGTGAGCTGTCCTGATATTTCTGCTTCCTGAACTGTTAATGAGATTCATATGCAGCCGTTAAGAAATAATACAGAATTTCTGTGTGCCCTTCACCCAGCTGCCCCCAGTGGTAGCATCTCAAATGACTGTAGTGTGGTATCTCAGCCAGGACCCTGTCCACATTCTGGCCTCTGTGTGTGTGTGTGTGTGTGTGTGTGTGTGTGTGTGTGTGTGTATTGGGGGGGCAATGTATTTCTGTGTGCCTGTCACATGTGTAACTTTATCACTGGCTTTTTTTTTTTTTCCCCCTGAAGATTTTATTTCTTTGAGGAGAGAAAGAGCAAACACAAGTGGTGGGAGGAGAGTAGCATTCCCCCTGCCCCCACCACAGAGAAAAGAGCTCAGTGCAGAGCTCAATCCCAGGACCCTGAGTATTGATTTTGGAATGTGTTTTGGTTATGTACACACGTCTTGATTAGATTATAAAAGCCCCCCCCCCTTTTTTACTGTGGGTCACAGTCAAAAAATCTGAAAGCTATATAGGTCATTCAGTTACCCAGTCATTTCAGACTCCACGGAAATGGGCTCTCAGTTCAGGACATAGCTCAATCCCCATCCCAACAAACCTGTGCGCCGGGGAGGAGTGACCCCTTGTCCCCCACTTCTTGTGGTGGCAGACATGGAGAAGACTGCGCCGGCTGCTGTGTCAGCCCTCTCCCACTACTTAGCAGTTGCCATCTCTACTCCCTTTGGTCTCATTGGAAGTGAAGACTCGAGTTCAAGCAAAGCTACCCACCTCTGGGATTGCTGAAAGCACTGTAGTGGCTCTGAGGGGCCCCTGTTGAACCTGGCTTAACGCTAACAGGAAGGACCAGAGTGTCTTCTGGCCAGAGACCTTGGCCTCGGGGTTTCTTGAGGCCAAGGTCCTGGCTAGGCTTGTGCCCAGAGCCCTCCAGAGGCTCCCAAGGGCTTGTCTGCTCTTGCCTAGGGGGGAGTGAAGAGTGTTGACTGTGGCCCCTGGAGGGCAGCCAGGATCCAGAAAGCCTCGGTGCCGCCTCCCTTCCACAGGTCCCATTAGCGAGTACCCCAGCCCCTGCACACCACTCCCGCCCAGCCCCAGGCCGCCAAGGTCAGCAAAGAGCTTCAAATAGGAAGCCCAAGAGGATTCCCTGGCAGGCCTGGGCCCCACAATAGAGGCTCTGCGGGAGGAGAGGAGAATGGGGACCACAGAGGTCGGCCTGCAGCTAGAATGGAGGATCTGGAAACTATCTGTACCACAGCCCTCCTATGGGCCAAGGGGAGAAGGCTGGGGTTGAGTCCACGCTAGAGATGGGTGAAGGAGCAGAGAAGGCCTGGATGGTCCAGTGAGGAGGAGACAGGACCCAGGCTTCCTGGCCCCTGCTGCCTAAGCCACCCCCTTCGGACGTCATCCCACACACAGTGTTTAGACAAAGCAGTGAAGAAGAAACACAGACATCCTGGATCCCTTAGGGAGGAGGCCAGGGCTGGGAACAGAAGGAGGTCTGTTTATTCCTGGCAGTCCAACATCTGAGGGGCCGCACACCCACTTCTGTCCAGGCCCCAGGCTGAACTCTCCCAGAGCCTCTGACTTCTGCCCGACCAGATAGCGTGGGTCTGTGGGCCGGCTGCTGGAAGCCAGCGTCCTCTGGCCGCCAGCTTGCTGAAGGAGGGGTCTGAGGCTGGATGCTTTCCTCTTCCCACTTGCTGTCCTAACAGAAGTTCTGCCTCCCTGGTTCCCCTGATCCTCTGCAGGATGGGCAGAGCTAGACCCCTCGTGTCCACAGCCTTCAGCTCAGGTCTCCTCTCCCTGCCCTTCCTCACCGAGGGCACCGAAGTCCCCATCTCAGTCTACCTGCGCTCTTGAGCAGGGAAGTCTTTCCCCATGTCTCATCTCCAGCTTTCTTGCTGCAGTTGTACCTGCTCCCTCACACTTCAACCTGCTTCTCTCTGGCACCCCAAGGCCTCACTTGATACAAGTGAAAATTGGAGCATCACACCTCTTGGCTCCCTAGCCTTGAACTTGCCCTTCCTCTCCTGTACCTACTCCACTCAGTGTCTCTGTGGAGCTGAAGTGCCCTTCTCCTCTCGGTTTTTGTGAGCTCTCCATCTGCCTTTCTCTACAGAGTTCTTAGAGGGGGCAGGTGGCTGGAGGGGAGCGACAGGCAGACGGCAGGAATCCTAAAAATGTTAATAACAGCTTCCTATGGGCCTGGTGTTCATCTAAGTCTTCACCACACATTAACTTGGGGTTCGTCTCGCCATAGGTGAGCACAGTACAAGCCCTCTTCTACAGATGAGGAAACGAAGGCAAAAGAACTTGAGTAATTTTTCCAAGTTCACACAGAAGAAAAAAAGATCCCAAGATTCTAAGATTCATACCCAGGCTTTCTGCCTCCAACACTGGCTCACACCTCTTACTCATCACGGAGGCCTCCTGTGTGTCAGGCACTGGGATATATAGAGTCACATGTTACTCTGTGATAGTCCCCAACACCCCAGAGAGGTGGTTTTACTTGTATTTTACACGTGGGAAAATTGAGGCCCAGGACTAGCTTGCCCAAATGCCACACCTCCTAGCCCAGAGCCACTTTTACCTCCTAGCCCAGAACTAGACTCAAAGCAGTTGAGAAAAGTATAGAATGACCCCAAATTCTAGAAGGAAGTTTGGCTTTATAAACCGAAAGGCCCATCAGGTGATAGGATGGAAAGATCCTCAAGCTCCAAACAGCCCCACCCCTGCCACCATCAGATACTGCTCTTCCGAATTAACTTAACGGAGCTGGGTGTGCTGTTGGCTGGTCAGCACCCCCAGGGGTTTACAGCTCATCAAATGTAAATGTATTCGTTGGGACAAGAAGCAGAAAGGGGTAGCTGAAACCCTGATTCCTCGAATTCTGATTCCTCCCCGACTGGATTGCATTTCTCAGATTAGCTAGGCGTGCGGCAGATGACAGGGCTCCCCTGAGGTAGGGGATCTGCCACCTCGGTGGCAAGCTACAGCTGGTGGCTGGGGAGGGGGCACACAGGTACAGGATAGGGGGAGGGCACTGGACAAAGACCGGCCAGCCTCCTGACTCCTGCCGCCCAGCCAGTGCCAGGCTCCACCCCCCAGAGGCGGGGCCAGGCTGAGCCCCACCAACCCCAGCTCCAACCCTCCAGAGCCCAGGCTGGGGCAGAGCCTGGGCAGCAGAGAGCCTGGGCCCCTGCAGTACCCACAGAGTGGAGGCACCATGCCCTCACTGGCCACAGGGACCACAGACAGCGCAGGAAGCCCTGCAGGCCCGCCTACAGCAACTCCCTGACCCCCAGGGGCAAGCCCAGGCTAGGCCAGCAACACCTGCCTTCCAAGAGCCATGTGAGTAGCTACACCCTCCTCCTTGCCCCCCTCCACGCCCTCTGCCCCCACCCAGCACCCAACCTCACCTGGAGACCTCAGCCCCAGGTCCTAAAGAGGCCATTGCAGCCAGCCCAAGCCACCAGAGACTCCACGGTGTGCAGGTCACAGGCCAGCACACCACACAAGGTGGCCCAGGGGCCAGCCCTGCCTTTCATGCTGCTCCTGGGGAGGAGGGGTGAGTCTCCCACCAGGGGAGTGCTGAGACCTCCAGCCCCAGACGAGAGTCCAGGTTTGAAGTCAGGGGCCCTGAGGTCTCATGGGGTTTAATAAAGTTTGTGGCGCAGGGACAAAGGGAACAGAAACTAAAGGGCCTGCTAGAGAGGGAAGGATGTCCTGGGTAGAGGGCTCAGTGTGAGGGGTGGGGGAAGTTGAGGAAGAGGAAATAAGCTGAGGAGAGGGGAGAGGGGCAGCAGCTTGGCAGGCCTTGGTGGGCCTGTGGGGAGCTGGAGAGAGGAGGGTCCTGAGCTCAGGGAGATGGTGGTTCTCTCAGATCCGGTGACTTGGGGGTGGGGGCAGGTAGGAATCCTTTCCTTATTGACTTTAATCCTAGCAACAGGCGCTGCTCTCCTGCCGACAGTAGCAGGAGTTTCCCCCTGGGCCTGGACCCTTCCTCCTCCCCACCATGTGGCCTTGGGGCCAGGGTGCCGGAAGAACCGAGGAAGGAAAAGACAGGGCCAGATCAGAGTCACGGAAGGGCCAGACCCTGCCCTCGGGCTCCCCTGCCAGCTCCCTGCGATGTGGGAGCTATCCTCCTTGCCGCTGGCATCCTCCTCCTCCCCGGGGATTCCTCTCTTCCTCCAGTTCCCAGGAAGGGCTCTGTTGCCACTGTGCTGCAGATGAATCAAGTTTATGGGCTGGAAGTCCTACCCGGAGGCTGCTCACCGAGCTGTAATCGCTAGGTACTGGGGGCGGGGTGGTGGGGGTGGGGGGCAGGTTAGGGGAACAAGGCAACCTGCTTGTTGCTGCCTTCCGTGGCCGTGGCCTGTCACTGACTCAGGTGTTCAGCCAGCCCTGCCCTTGCCTCTGCCTTACTCACTCCTAACCTGACCCCCCTCAATCCTTAGCAGCCTACCCTCTCCCAGTGCTCTGGTGCCAGCCAGGCTGGGAGCATCCGAGGACAAGGACCCCTCCTTCATCAGAGCACCCATCCCTAGCCCTGGTCCCAGCCCAACCTGAAGGAGGCTCTCAACTGATCGATGGCCAGAAGCCACGACACACCAGCCAGACCCTGTTCTCCCCTTTGGCCAGCGTGGGGCCTTGCCTTGTGGAGGCGGGGATGGACAAAATGCTCTGGGGCTTTGGGGCTGGGTGGGTCCACCCTTTAGTCTAAACAGAGGCCTTAAAACGGCTGCCCAGAGAGGGTGGGACAGGTAATAGCACTGGCCAACATGGGTAGAGCCTGGGGAGTTGGGGGAATACAGCTGTCCCTCAGCTCCAGCCCATGGCCAGCACACCGGGCATACTTGTTGCCAGAGGAGACTCCTTAAGAGAAGCCCAGAATATGAATTTTTATGTAAATTTCAGTGGGCAGTTATTTGGGGGGGAAAAAATGTTCTCAGCAAACAAGATAAGGCCCGCAGCCTGCTGCTGTGTGCCTTCTGGACGACTGCCTAGCGCCCCCTAATTCTGGCTACCCATCTCTCATTCAGGCACGCTGGCTGCTGCTCCAAGCCTCCCCTGTCCCCAGGCCAAAGATGACCGCCAACAGCACCAGGGAGGCACCCAGCCCAGTTCCCACGGGGGCCCTGGGCCTCTCCCTGGCCCTGGCCATCCTCATCATCGCCGCCAACCTGCTCCTGGCCTTGGGCATCGCCAGGGACCGGCACCTGCGCCGGCCGCCCGCTGGCTGCTTCTTCCTGAGCCTGCTGCTGGCCGGGCTGCTCACAGGGCTGGCGCTGCCCATGCTGCCCGGCCTCTGGAGCCAGAGCAGCCGAGGCTACTGGTCCTGCCTCTTCCTCTATCTGGCTCCCAACTTCTCCTTCCTGTCCCTGCTCGCCAACCTCCTGCTGGTGCACAGCGAGCGCTACATGGCAGTGCAGCAGCCCCTGCGGCCCCGCGGGAACACATGGCTGGCCCTGCTCCTCACCTGGGCCTGGCCCCTGCTCTTTGCCAGCCTGCCAGCCCTGGGGTGGAACCATTGGGTCCCCGGCACCAACTGCAGCTCCCAGGCTGTCTTCCCGGCCCCCTACCTCTACCTTGAAATCTACGGCCTCCTGCTGCCTGCCGTGGGGGCCGCCGCCCTGCTCTCTGCCCGTGTGCTGGCCATGGCTCACCGCCAGCTGCAGGACATCCGGCGGCTGGAGCGGGCAGTGTGCCGTGGCGCACCATCGGCCCTGGCCCGGGCCCTCACCTGGAGGCAGGCAAGGGCACAGGCCGGGGCCACGCTGCTCTTCGGGCTGTGCTGGGGGCCCTATGTGGCCACCCTGCTCCTCTCAGTCCTGGCCTTCGAGCAGCGCCCGCCACTGGGGCCAGGAACTCTGTTGTCCCTCATCTCACTGGGTAGCGCCAGCGCAGCAGCCGTGCCCGTGGCCATGGGGCTGGGGGATCAGCGCTACACAGCCCCCTGGAGGACGGCCGCCCGCAGGTGCCTGCGCATGCTGCCCAGAAGGGCCCCCCGCACTGGGCCTGGCCCCCGCACAGCCTACCGCACCAGTAGCCAAAGCAGCGTGAACCTTAACTTGAACTAGGGGAAGGGCCTCTGCTGGCTCCTGCTCGAAGCATCTGTCCATCTCCGCCACCAAGGCAGTCTCCTCTTGTCTCCCAGGACCTGCATCAGAGGTCCTGCCCTTATCTGACCCCCACCCTGACCTAATAAACTCTGGCCAACTCACAGTTACCTCATTCTGCTTCTCCAAAAGGGGGTGGGGAGAGAACTGAAGTCAGACGTGCATCCACAGAGATCCGACTCCTTCAGCATCAACCGTCGGGGAGGGCCAGCTGGGGGCTCTCAAAGCCTAGCAGATTCTGTGGGGCCCCTCACCCCGACACGCCCCTCCCTGGTTTCTCACATCCAGATGCCACAAAACCCACACACACACAGTCTCTGGGAAGTATATTTTATTTACATTTTTAAAATCTGTAACTAGTATCTCTTCCTCCTTTCCACCCCCAGAGACTTGGGAAGGGAAAGAACGGGAACCTCAACGACCTACTCCCCACATACAAACACACAGCCCCGTGATCACACCAGCGAATGAAGGTGAATGAGAAAGAGGCCTGACCCCCCCACTCTGAGGGATCCGCAGGTCTGGGCGAGGGTGGGGGCAGGCGCAAGGGGTGGGTCTCTTAAGAGAAGGGACAAAGGGGGCAAGTCAGTTTGAAGGGGTTGGAAAGTAGTCCAAGGCCCCCGCCTCCTCCTCCCCCATACCCTACCGCCTCTGCTGGTGGGGTTCTCCCTTCACCCCTCAACACCAGAGCAGAGGCTGCAGCCATTAGCGGTCAGGTCTCTGGACACAAAATACTTTTGCTTTGTGGTCTCCTGATGTAGTCACCACCAGGGAGGCATCTCTGCGGACAGAAAGCACAGGTCAATGGGACTGAGGGCCCTGAGGCCCGGCCTCAAGCCCACCGCCCTGAGGCCCTCAGGGGGCCTGGTGCCTGGCACCGGGCTGCCGTGTCCACGTCAAGTGAACATGCTGGAAACCTGCACCCAGTAAGGGCGTCAGAAAAGAGCCACAGCATAGGGGAGATGGTCCCAGCCCCTCGGTGCCAGAACAGAGATGTGAGCGCCCACGCAGGTCCCCAACCACTGGAAGCCACAACTCCCTCAGGCTTCCCTGCACTTCGGGCTCACAGGCTGCCAGCAGGCCTTGGGGCCCACCTTCTGTCCCTTAGGAAGTCCCTCCCACACCCCAAGGACCCTGAGGCCCCCCAGGGGCCCTTCCCATCCTCCAAATACTCAAAGAGACTCCAGCCCTTGCCAGATTCGTACTTGCTGAGGGCGAAGTCCAGGATCTCGGCCGTGTGGCCCCGGTAGTCTGTGAGCAGGCGGCCAGTGCGGGCGTCCCAGAGGCGCACGATGCCATCCAGGCTGCAAGTGTAAACCACGGCGGTGCCCGCCTCCCACAGCAGCTGCACAATGCCTGACTGCGCCGGTGCCAGGAGACAGAGGGGGCATCAGGGCCAGAGAAGCGGGGGGACCTGCCTCTGACTCTCGGGGTGGGGGGAGGGAGGGAGGGGGCGGGGCGGGGGGGACCAGAGAGCAAGCCCTGCCAGGGCTCCAGGCTGCCCGTACCTGGTGCTGACACTGGTGCCGAAGGGTCTGTGTAGACAGGTCATAGATGGCCAAGGTCCCATCCAGGTAGCCAACAGCTGCCAGAGGCATCCTGGGCAGAGGAGAGGACCACTCAGACTAGCGGACAGCCCTGGACGCCCGCACCCTGCCCAGGCACCCCTCGCCAAACCCTCCTCCCCAGCTGGCCTCCTCTCCAGGCCAAGGCCCTTCTCACACTTACACGCTGCAGAAACCCAAAGACTCCACAGAGTTGGACTCGCTCTCCTCCCCTTCTCCCACGCTGGGCTGGGACGCCACAGTCTCAGGTCTGAAAACACCCACCACCTAGAATCCCCGGGAGAGAAGCTGAGGATGGGAGGAGGGCTGATGAAGGGGAGGAAAGGGGACCAGAAGAGTCCCGGGGTGGAGGTGGGGTGGGCATAGGAGGCAGCGGCTCGGCAGCCTGGCTCTGGGTTACACTCACCTTGCCAGTGGTGGCACTGACCAGCTTGGCCTGGCAGTCCACAGAGCCGGTGAGGATCAGGCTGCCGTCCTGGTTGGTGGCAACACAGGTCAGAGGGCCCTGGTGACCCTCAGTCCCTAGGAAAGAGCAGATGGCGAAGTAAGGCTTCATCGTGGCCCCCGTATCCCACCCCAGGTCTTCCGCACAGAGACCCAGGGAACCCCTGTCCCGCCCTGGAGACCTTTTAGTACGTGGATCGGGCTTCCCTGCTTCAGGTCCCAGATCCTGATGGTGCCATCTTCATAGCCGACCACAGCTCTCTTCCCTGAAGACCCACAGGCACAGACGGAGGGGAGGACAGACAACGCTCTCAGACACACCCAGCATGGGAATGGCAAGGAGGGTAAGGGAGCAGACGCTGCCCCTGGGACTAGCAGAAAGTCAGGGCAGGAGAGGGGAAGCCGTCTGCTCTGGGGCCTGGGTCCATGTTCCGGACAGCAGACCTCAGAGCTGGCCGGCTCAGGCCCAGGAGGGAGCCCAAGACGCCACAGAAACCTGCAGCCCACCACCCAGCAGCCTGGCAGACAGCAAGGGGAGCGGCCCTCACCATCAGGGAGGACTCGGCCACAGGTAGCTGGGCAGTTGGGGCCTTGGAAGGTCTTGCAGTCGCCATTTGGGACCTTCCACATCCAGGTGTTGCCGTCAGCTGTGCCAGCCAGGAGGACAGGTGCCCGAGGGTGCCACTCCATCCACTGGACAGAGAGGAGGGGTCAGCAGGCAGGCCTTTCACCCCATTCCCCGAGGAGCCCTTCCTTAAGCTCCACCCAAGCTGTCCTTGCTTCTGAGGGTGGCAGGGACTGGACAGGAACAGAGCCAGACGCTCATGCCGCACATGGACAGCACACTGCCTTCAAGACGGCACGGTCTGGTAAAGGTGAGACTGGACGACCCCCCCCCACCAGCTCTTGGTACCTACCAAGGCCCCGCACAGCTCAACACCACTCTGAAGATCTCACCTCCAGATCTCCTGCTTCAAAGGACCAGACCTCCTCCTTGGTGTCCACCTGCCATACTTTCAAGAGGCCGCTCATGTCCCCTGTGGCCACGAGGGTAGAGTCGTGGCTGAAACCAGCACAAGTAACAGAGTCTTTATGGCCTGCAAAGGAAGAAGGCAGAAAGAGAGGAGAATGTCAGGAGAACAGGACCCAGGTGTCTGGCCCCCTGAAAGGACCAGCTGGGAAGAGAAAGGTCGGTCCCACCATAACAGGGGCCTCAATCTCACTGCCACTCCAGGAGTCAATACTCAGCCAATCCCCCCAGGTCTCCCTAGGGATAGCAATGCTAGCCTTCCAATCAACCATGCCTAGCTGGCCCAGGCCTATGTCCTCCCCATTCTGTCTGCTCCATACCTCTGCCCAAAAAACCGGCTCCTCCTCTCTGTCTAAATATCCTACGGCCGCGGCCTCCTCCCAGACCGTCCCCAGACTCCTTGGGCCAATAGTGGCTCCCTCCCCATGCCCAAGACAGTCTAAGTTATTCTGTTCTGAGGTCCTTGGGTTCAGCACAGAGCTCGCCCCAAATGGGGACCAGTAAATGGTGCTGGATGCACAACCATTGCAGGCTAGCCCCCAAGACCTCCAAAGTAACACAACTACACCCGCAACCCCTCACCTGCACACTCAAAGAGCAGCTCCCCATCACTGAGCCTCCATACGAAAGCCTTGTCATCTTCACCCCCGGTCACTGCCAAGGTGTTGGTCTTGGGGTCCAGGCTCACACAAAACACAGACGCTGTCCCAAGAAATATTCCATGAGTAAGCGGACAAGATTCTCCCGCCCCCCACCCCAGGTTCTGTCCTTCGGGACCTTCAGGAAGCCCACCCCCTTCCACCCAAAGCAACATGTCTTTCCTCCTGGAAAAGAAGGGTGCATCCAAGTTCTAAGTTTCAAGCATCAAGTTGTTGGAGCAATCCCAGCCCACGCTTGCCAGGCTCCAAGTCTTTCCCCGATGCTGCTGCCCTCACCGCCCCAGATAGACAAGGAGTGTACACGTGCAGGCTTCCAGGTCTCAGCACAGGGTGTCACCAGGCTGAGCACAAAGTGAGGAAAGCACCAGGTCACTTCCCTTATTAAGGGTTAATATTTGAGAGAATTATATAAAACACGTTCAAAAAGGTACAACTATCTCTAATTTACTACAAGGTAACCTTCTGAAAAGAAACTAAGACCCAGAGAGATTAATAAAGATCATAAATCGCTAAGGAACAAGAGGAGGATTTGAAGCCAGCCAGCTCCAGGAGCCAAGCTCTCCCCCAGGCCCTCACAGTGTGAGCTCCTCCAGGGCAAGGCCAGCCTCTGTTTTCCCAACTCCCTGTCCCTCCAAAGGCTCCCTACACAGCAGGAGTCTGATGTTCCAATGCCCACATGCACTGAGTTGATGGCGGATCCCCTCAGAGACCTACCTGAGTGCAATGCAAAGGTGACTTCACTATCGTCTGGGCCCTCCATGCTGCCGACCACCCCTTCCTGGGGTTCTAGAACCCAGCCCTCCTCATTGCCCTCTTCCTCTTCTTCTTCTTCTTCGAAGTCCACATCTTCCATCTCCTGGGCCAGATCATCTGCTTTGGGGAGAGGGTTAAGAGATGCGGCTGGGCAGACAGTAAGAAAGAGGGAAGGGGAGAAGTGGTGGGGAGGTCTGAGGCGCTGGGGTGTAGCAAGAGGGTTGGCTGAGGTCAGAAAGCGAGGGAGAAGCAAGGGTAGAAGCGGCAGGGAGGCGGGGACACGGGGGACGAAGGACAGGAGAGGTCTGAGGACCCGGGGTTGGCCAGAGACGGTGTGGGAAGGGAGGACCGAGGGGATGATGGGAAGGGGGTGTGTGAGGGGAAGGGCCAGAGGAGGCGTCAGGGGAACCCCCACCCCTGCCAGGCCTAAGAACTAAGTGTGGGGGCAGGGCAGGGGGGAAGGGCGAAAGGGGTCGGTAGGAATGACCAGTAGGGAGAGGAAGGGAGGGGGGAGAAGAAGGGGTCAGAGGCCAGGGGTGAGCGCCTCCTGTCCCACGGCCCGAGGAGCAGCAGTTCTCACCTGGGTCCGGCGGACCAGGATCCAGTTCTACCACCT